ATTTATTTTATATAAAATATATTTTTAAATATAACATATATTATATTTATTATAAATAATTATTAAAATAATAAAAATATAATTTATTAAAATATTTTTACACAATTACTTTTAAAATAAAAAAGAATGTATTTTATATAAAATAAATTTTACTCGTATTTTTAATTTGTATTTTACTTTCTATTTACTTAAGGTTATTTTTATTTTATTTCATTGTATTACATCTCAATTTTTATTATTCACAATTAAATAATATGATTTTTTTAAATTAAACCACGAATTGTTTTCCTTCATCGTTGTAACCAATGTGCGTGTAAAAAAAAAAGCAAAAAAAAGGTTCGAGAGGGATACTTTTGTACACGCGTACCTAACTCAGTTTCCCTATTTTTTTTTTTTGTATTCTTCTTCTTCTCAGGTGTTTTTGATTGATCGTTCCAATTATGTGGCACAGCGTGGTCCCAAATGTGAGAATAAAATTTCCTATGGAGCATCTATACTTTACTTTTTTTTTTTTTTTTTTTTTCCAATTATGTGGCACAGCGTGGTCCCAAATGTGAGAATAAAATTTCCTATGGAGCATCTATACTTTACTTTTTTTTTTTTTTTTTATATATATTTGAAATAAAAGGAAAAACAAATAAAACAAAAGTGTGACAATTAGGTTCCTGTGTTTATCATCCCCACCATCACACTTAATCTCTTTCCCATAATAAATGTTCAACCATAAGTGTTCAATTCTATTTAACGTAAAACCATTGGACTAAATTGTTGAACGACGTTTTAAAGAAATGTTTTAAAAAGTGCTTTAACAAACGTCAATGTGCCAATACTTTACGAAATCCCTGCAAAGTAGCCCGTTAAGGGTATTTAATGACTTCGTAGAAAACTTAACGCATTCTTTTTTTTTTTTTTTTCGTTAAATTGTAAAAGTAAGTTCGCACCTAACGACAGTAAAAAAAAAAAAAAAAAAAGAAAAAAAATAAAAACGCGTATGAGTGTTAGGGTATATTAATTTTGTTTCAGGTATTTTAGGTTTCAATATTTGTCCTCTCACCTAACGCAGAATTGTAGAATAATTTTCGTACAAAAAAAAAAAAAAATAAAATATGGAGAACACCTAAATGTTTATTAAAGTAATATTAAAAATAATATAATAAATATTATACATTTTATAAAATTAAAAATTAAATATTATAAATAAATTAAAATATATATTCATTGAAATTAATAAACTAATCACCACGTTAATAATTAATATTTATAATGATTTAGAAAATAATTATTGTATAATATATTTCAGAAAATTATCTTTGTTAGATAATTATAAATAAAAATAATATTAAAATAATAATAAAAATAATATCATAAATAATGTTATTACTAGCAAAAAGACAAAAACAATTGTCCATTATGCAATCAAATGTAAATTAAATGTACATTAAAATTAGAATTGTAATATTTTTCTGGATATAGGATTGAACTAATCGTATTATATGTTTATAATAATATACAATAAAATATATACATATTAGGTTATTTTTTTAAATATTGTAATACTTGATTTATGAGTAATTATTAATATTATTTTTATTTATATTATATTAAAAATTTAAATTTAAAATAATTTTATATAATTTATTTAATTTATACAATTTTATATATTTAAATAATTTAATATAATTTAAATTTAAAAAAAAAAATTTTAATTATATTATATAAATAATTATTAATATAATATAATATAAATAAAAAAATATAAAATATAATAATATCATAAATAATATATTTTATAAAATTAAAAATTAAATATTATAAATAAATTAAAATATATATTCATTGAAACTAATAAACTAATTACCACATTATTAATTATTATTTATAATGATTTAAAAAATAATTATTGTATAATATATTTAAGAAAATGATCTTTGTTAAATAATTATAAACAATCTTACCAAAATGATCGTTGAATCGTATATTCTTCAGATATATCGTAAATGACTCACAATGGGCATTGCTTTCCATTTAACAGTTGCTAGAAATGCGAAACTTTTCTCTATGGGTTCCTTGGTATCTAAGGATGTGAACAGAGTGAGAATTCGCGCGGATGATACGAAGACTAATGGAAGTGCTGTTCGTAGAAATGGCGGCCCCATTGTGAGAACGTAAAGAGGTACCAGCCTAGTTCAATGCTTCCCGATGGTTCCCGATAAAGCATATCATCGCGATATAAAGTGTTGTCAATTTTATTACATCAAATCAAATTACAATTTAGTCGTACAAACCTTTCCCTTATTCTGTTTGTTTTTGTATTTTTATTATAAAACAATTTGATTTAAATTTCATCAAATAGAAAACTCTCTCACAACCATCAAATTTAGACTTTCATAACAAATGATATTTCTTAAAACCAATTTAAGGTACACTATATATAGATAGATAGATAGATAAATAGATAAGCAATGTAATGAAAAAAATGGAATGGTTGTAAAATGATACATGAGAACCACTGTCCGTGGTTTATACTAAACGCACGAAGGAGTGTTTTGCGGTGCTTTTTCGTGGTGTTTCTCTTGCCTTCGTAGGAACGAACGTTTATCCATCCAACTAAGTTAGTGGGGGGTATGGGTGAAGAAGAAGAGAAGAGTAGGAGAAGGAACCATCAGTTTGCTGACAGAAATCCTTGAGATAGGGTATTCGAAGAGGGCGGACGTTTATGTTTGGAGCATGCGCCTATTGGACCAATCGGAGACCAACAACGTTCTTTAAAAACCTCGATGAATTCTTTCTCGAGATTCGAAGGCGTGTTGTTACTACTGAGTTTAAGTTGGGATATTTTTTTTTTCTTTTCATGTAACCTGGTCCAAATATCCTTTTAAATGGATAACATTTAAGACATTTTGTCGTCATTAATTTTATCATTTTAATTAATTGGATCAAACTTCAATTATTCATTTACCAATCAAATTGCAAAGATTGCATTCCATTGCAAAGTCTCCTTCAGAATTTGATTTTTCCAAATAAAAGTTAAACATTTCATTACAAATTATTCGTTAATATGATAATTACAACAAATATCCGATTAATGGTTTAATAATAATAAAAATTATTTGATAATAGGATAAAATGTTATTACAAATCCTTTTCCAATAATTTATTACCATTTTCTTCTGAAATATATATATATATGTAGATAAGAATATATGTATTGTATAGTAAATTAGGGGGAAGGGGTAAGAAATAGTAAGGGGGAGAGACTTTTCACCAACCTCCTTCCAGGAGGATGACCTTCCCTTGGGGAATAAGATGGTGGGGATGTTGGGAGGTCCTTCTGGACCACGGGCACGTGCCACCTGTCATACATTCGGAAGTACTCGCTTTCGTAACACTAAAAGGAGGAGATTAGTTTGAGATTAGATGTTGATATGGTGACACATATTGGAACGGTTTATGGTTACTAATAATAAGTGATTAGTATAAAAAAAAAAAAGCTTAATGAAATTAATTAATTTAATACAACAACAGTAACAAAAAGAAAAAGAAAACAACGTAAGATTGAAATGCATTTTTGAATGTAAAATATAATAATGGAAAATTACAAATGAAACAGTGTATATGTTTGAGTTAATGTTAAACGAATAGGTGAGAGTAAACAGTTAAATGACATTTGTCAAAATGGATTATTGTCAGAACCAAGATGAGAAGGCTTTGGACGATGATATTTGCGATTTGAGACGAGTCAGATCGCATCAGAATGTCAACGATGTTAGTTCTGTCGAGGATGAAACGTTGCACGATCACCACAACCATCATCACCATCATCATCACCATCGTCAGCATCACCATCAACGTGAAACCGAGGATATTGAACTACGAGTTGTTAAATCACCGAGTAATCATCATACGGAGACGATGGAATATGCATCAGATTCTAGCAGTGAAAGTTATCGAGAGTATCATCATCATCATCATCATCATCATCATAATCATCATAATCGTCATAGTACTCAACGTATAGATAGAATAAACGTGTCACCGGTCAATGGAAATTCCAGTGCATTTACCATTGAAAATATACTTGCTACGAGAAACGATAATAAAAGGGACGAGGAAAGAAATTTTCATAAAATTTGTTACATCGATAAGGAAGACGAACAGGATAACGATAAGGATAATGACAAAATTATCGAAGGACAATTTGTCAGACCTACGGCTATTCCTGCTACACATTCAAGTACGTTTTTATTATTTTGTTACCCGTTGAATTTGGTTTTTTTTTTTTTTTTAATTTGTTTATTTCCTCCATTTTTCCCTGTGTGTTGTTTTACTTTTTTTACATTTATTTTTTTTTTTTTTTAATTATTATTATTGTTATTATTTATTTCTTTGTTTTTTCTTAGACGTTAGTGGTATGTTGTACGCCCACACAGCTATACCTTACACCGATGGAACCCTTTCGGATCATTCGAGTTACACGACGACTTCATTGGCATCTGCATCCCTCTTGTACAGCAGTTGGTTCGCACAATCTAAACCTGCTCAACTTTTTGGTCTTCAAGGTAAAATTTTATTTCTTTTTTTTTCTCTATTAGAAATAATTATTTTAATATTTATTATAAATAAGGAATAATCGGTTGTTCAGATGTTTGTATTGATGATTTTCACTAACATAAGTTATAATAGTGTGGTTTTGGTTAAATATTCAACAAAATATTGTTTGATATTATATTATTGGAATAACTTATATTATTTATTAGAATTTATTTATTTTATTTTGATGAAAGAGTACTACAAATGTATAAATTATTTAATTAAAATATTTTGATTTGTAAGTCATTTTCAAAGTGACTTATGACCAATAAGAGTTAAATAGAAATTCTAAACCTTCAAATTGAACGTTACCATTTAAAATAATTTGAAAATCCTTATTTGTAGTTTCATTTATCCACGACAAAGAATTCTAATTACCCGTTCGTAATAACTTATCGCTGTAATTCTATTTTCTCGAACAATGGTGAGAAAACAGAAAAAAAGAAAGAAAGAAAGAAAGAAAGAAAGAAAGAAAGAGATGGGGGATGTAGATGCTGGTAGTGGTGGTAATAGTAGTGTTGCTAGTGATGATGGGGATGGGGGTGAAGAAGGGCTGAAGGATGAGGGGGTTGTGAAAGATCGTAGAGCTCTTTCACGTTTCAAACGAATATTGGATATTACGGGAGGCACCTAAGGTAAGAGCTTTTCGACACGCGAACACCGCATCAACGAGCAACGTGTTACATCTCCCTAGTTTCTCTAACGCGTTAACGGTTAAATGCGAAACACCTATTTATATATCTATCTGGTAACACGAACAATCGTCACCTACAATATTGTGTGACCAATAATATAACAATTTATTCTTCAATGAATTTTATTTTATTTATCACCTATTCTCTTATTTATATCTTCGTATTCTTCTCATTCATGCGCATTCTATTATATTATATATTTATATATTCTATATTTGGATACACGAACAATTATTGTTACCTTGTTTGACCAATAGTATAATAATTTATTCTTCAATGAATTTTATTTTATTTATCACCTATTCTCCTATTTATATCTTCGTATTCTT